TGGAGGACAAACAAAATGCAAATGTAGTATACACAGACTTTGCTAAAGCCTTCTACAAATGCAATCATCGTGTAATAGCACATAAAATGCATGATAAAGGAATAACAAGAAAAGTGGGTAGAAGGATCTATAACAAACAGAATACAGTAAAGTCGGAGGCAGCTACAGTGAAAAGCTCTGTTCCACAAGGCACGGTACTCGCTCCCATTCTGTTCCTCATCCTGTATATGACATAGAGATGTAAGCCACAGCACCATGTCCTCCTTTGTTGATGATTCCAGAATTTGCATGACGGCGTCATCCATTGAGGACACTGCAAATTTCTAAGCGGACATTAACATTTTCAGTGTCCAGACCACTGATCTGAAACTTGTCCACAGGATCCAAAAATTAAATTTTTTTTTTGTTATGAAATGGTAGAGAATCTTTTCTGAAAGTAATAAAACAAGAAGTACAAAATTTGATGGAAAACTGACGAAATTACATTATCGCGAATTTTGCTGTGTAAGCGATATTTACACATCAGCGATTTTGCTCACTTTGAGTCCTATTTTACACCAATTACATATTTCCAGTAGACGAGATTCTTAGCTGTTTCAGTAGCATGTCTTTCACTTTATCAATTGAGCAAAGAACCGCCTATAAAGTGATAAGAAATTGGTAATTTGGCCAATATCGCACAAAATTCATAAAGTGCCAATTTCAAAATAGGGTCCAGAATAAACAGTGCAGACATTTCTGGCACTAAAATAACATTTCCTCTGTTCATTAGTTACATTGCCAGGCTTCTCCAGTATTACACATGAATTCAATTTTAAATTTTTATTCACACGAAACAAATAAAAGATTTACTGTTATGCATTATTGTAATAATTCTATAAATAATATCATTGGATTCGTGAACACATGTTAGACTGACCAATTGGATGTTTATTAGATAACTAAGAAAGTAATGTGAAGGATCTGGGAGTGATAATGTCAGAGGATCTCACCTTCAAAGACCACAACAATGTATCTACCTCATCTGCTAGGAAAATGATAGCATGGATAATGAGAACCTTCAAAACTAGGGATGCCAAGCTCTCAGTAGTACCAGTTACCAGTAGTACCAGTTACCAGTAGTACCAGTTACCAGTAGTACCAGTTACCAGTAGTACCAGTTACCAGTAGTACCAGTTACCAGTAGTACCAGTTACCAGTGTATGACTCGCTACCAACCGTCTGCGTGAATTGCTGACTGTTATTCATGTTGCTGCTGACCATAGCATGTTTTGAATGCCGCTCACCACTACGACCCAATTCGTGAGTCAGTCTTAAGATAGAGAGCAGAGAGGCAGGGCGGGCCTGGTGCTTCCCATATATTCCCTTATAATTATACTAGAACATCCAACATGAGTGTTATTACCCAATCCACGTTATCAAACCCCCACATGACAAAACCCATGATGATTCTCTTCAAATCACTTGTTCTCTCTAGGCTGGAATACTGCGGTACACTAACGGCCCCCTTCGAGGCTGGCGAAATTGCTGAGCTGGAGAATGTGCAGATAACTTTCACAGCACACGTAAATACGATAAAGCACCTAAATTACTGGGAACAGTTGAAGCCCTTTGATTTGTATTCCCTGGAATGCAGGTGAGAAAGATACAGGATAATATACACTTGGAAAATCCTAGAGGGATTGGTACCAGATTTGTACACGAAAATCACTCCCTATGAAAGCAGAAGACTGTTCAGGAGATGCAACATTCCCCCAATGAAAAGCAGGGGTGCCATGAGTATGATAAGAGACAAAATAAGTATTAGGGGCCCAAGACTGTTCAACTGCCTCCCAGCATGCATATGGGGATTATCAATAGACCCCTGGCTGTCTTCAAGAAGGCAATGGACAGGCCACCAAAGTCAGTACCTGACAGCCAGGCTGTGGTTTGTACATCAGTTTGTGTGCAGCCAGCAGTAACAGCCTGGTTGATCAGGTCCTGATCCACCACAAGACCTGATCATGAACCAGGTCATAAGGGCATTGACCCCCAGAACACCCTCCAGGTATGTTACTGTGGTGGGCAGCAGTGGTGGTGTTGGGTGTAGGTGAGAAGTGTTATGAAGTGTAATTATGTTAGCATGGTGGGCGGCGGTGGTGGTGGAAGAGGGGACGGCTCAGCAATGTCCAATAAGAGATCAATGGTTAGTATGCATCAGACTCACCTGCTTACACAACCACCTCTCTCTCCCCTGCTACAGTCCGGGCAAGCAGTTGACCCCACCACAACCTCACCCACACTGTTTGCCCAACCAGATATAATACCCTCACTATAACAGAGGGGGAAAAGTATAAAAAGTAGAATGGGAATGGGTAAGAAAGTGGGTGTTAATGATAGGGAGGGCGGCAGTGCTGTTGGCGCCCCTGCCTACACTTCTCTCTCCAGAATACTTTTACAATCCACTACAGCGGTAAGGTCAACACATAACAGCAAACTCCGCATATAACAGTTGTCTCGAGTGTCCATTTAACTGACATTGACAAAATACATATTTGATAAGCATTAAATTCTCTATTGTACATGTAATATAGTAGTGTTAACACAGTTTACAAATACAGTGGACCCCCGGTTAACGAACTTTTTTCATTCCAGTAGTATGTTCAGGTGCCAGTACTGACTGAATTTGTTCCCATAAGGAATATTGTGAAGTAGATTAGTCCATTTCAGACCCCCAAACATACACATACAAACGCACTTACATAAATACACTTACATAATTGGTCGCATTTGGAGGTGATCGTTAAGCGGGGTCCACTGTATACAGGCGCTCCTCGACTTATGGTATTTTTACGATGGTGCAAAAGCAATTACAGTGGACCCCCGCATAACGATCACCTCCAAATGCGACCAATTATGTAAGTGTATTTATGTAAGTGCGTTTGTACGTGTATGTTTGGGGGTCTGAAATGGACTAATCTACTTCACAATATTCCTTATGGGAACAAATTCGGTCAGTACTGGCACCTGAACATACTACTGGAATGAAAAAAGTTCGTTAACCAGGGGTCCACTGTATACAGGCGCTCCTCGACTTATGGTATTTTTACGATGTTGCAGCATCAATTACTTTGGAGATGAAACTTGAGATAATTACCCAACATGAAGGTGACGAGTCCATATCTTGTATTCATTTAATTACTTTTTGATGCTGGTATTTAATTACAGTAATTATTTATTTATTCAGTGACTAGTTATTTATTTACTTATTTAGCATATATTCATATTCGACTTATGTTGTTAACTTACAATGGGTTCATCAGAACGTAGCCCCATAGTAAATTGAGGATCACCTGTAAGTATAATAATAACAGTGGATTTTGTCCCTTTATTTTGTGTGTTATACCAAAGTTTGTTATATGAAGGGTTTACTGTCCTCATATTAAGTAGTTTTAACCCGTAAACGGTCCAAAGGTATATATACGTTTTTTCAACATTTGAAAGTATTTAAAAAAAGTAGATCTTCTTTTTGTCTTTTTACATTTGAAAATGTGTAAAAAAAACTTTGATCTACTTTTGTAGCACTACACATGTGAACGTAGATCTGCTTGAACCGTTTACGGGTTAAGTACAGACATGCCTCGCTAATACGGTGTTCTTGAATTATTTTTATATTTTTTTTTTTTTCAACAAGTCGGCCGTCTCCCACCGTTTATTATTATTATTCCCACTGTTTATTATTTTTGGCAGTGATGCACATATCATCTGACTGTAGCATTTTTCTTGTTATTTTTACTTCTGCATCATTTTTTTAGACCTAGTGCTATTACGCACTTAAATGTGATAGTGTCAACATGTTTTTAGGCTTTCAAATGCACCAGCAAGTGAAGAAAAGGCGGTGTATCACTTTATAGCAGCAGTATAGAACCTAAGCTGCCGTATAAGCAGGAGGGAAACTATAACAGTGTTTTTTGCGTCAGATCTCTCACTCTATTCCCAGCCCCACCCTCCTCTTCTCTATGTACTGGTTACCTTCCCTTCATGCTTCTGTGTGACTAGTTAATGGACTGAAACGTCATAAGTTTCATTCTTCTATGTGTGGGTTGCGTATGTAATACAGGTGACCCTTGACTGATGATGGATTGATGTTCCCACAAACCCGTCATAGGTTAAAAATATCATAAGTCTAAAGTGATAAATATAGAAGTAAATAACTACAGTAGGATCCCCCACATCTGTACATCCAGTATCTGCGGTTTCAGTTACCCGTGGTTTACTGTGGCTTGAAAATAATCCTTAATTTTGCTCAGTAATGGCTTTGAAGTGCAGAAGTAGTACACAAATAACCCGCACATAGGAGGGAGGAACTTACGACTGGGACCATTTACAGAGTCACAGGTTGGACCGAAGCGTCGTCGTAAGCTCCTCACCCCTATGTGTGGGTTATTTGTGTACTGTTCCAGTCATGGTATTGTGCCTTCTTGTTATTTGCAAAAGTAGTGACGGTGCCCAGTTCTTCAGATCCTAAGAGAAGCTGTGAAGTGCTTCCCTTCAGCGAAAAAGTGATAATTCTCCTTTTATTGTGCATAATTTATCAGTTAACCCTTAAACTGTCCAAACATAGATCTACATTTGTACCGCTAGCACTCCGATCATAGATCTGCATTTTTTACATGCTTTCAAATGTAAAAAAATGCGTAGATCTATGTTTGGAGCGTTAGCTGTACAAATGGAGATCTATGTCAGGTCCTTGGAATGCATTTCCCACTGATACAGGGATCCTACTGTACTGTCACTGAATAAGTAAATAAACAATAATTACTGTAACTAAATACCAGTCTTGAAAAGTAAAATGAATACAGGTTAGTGACTTTCCGCCTTCATGCCGGGTAATTACCTTGAGCTTCATCTCCTAAGTAATTGCTCTTGCAGCATCGTAAAATCGAACCATCGTAAATCGAAGAGCACCTTTATGTGCAAATGTAAGATGTGTGTTTTACTGGGTAGGGATAATCTTGCAGGTGAAGAAGAATCCTCAACTGTACCTGAACGATGGAATCCATAGCATTGACTACATCCTGGTGTCAAGGGACAGCGAGACTGATGACCATCTGGACCACGAGGAATGGCGCAGGGTCTTCGAGAAGAACCTGGTCAAGGAGGGTCTCATACTTGAGGAAGACAGAGTTGAAGAGGTTCCTCTCAGGTTAAACTACTTTTTTTTTACTTCTACTATACTCCTTTCCATTAAGTTAGACAGCTGTTGCATGAACAATGGTAAATGTGTTTTTTTTCCTTGGAGTTTCCTTGCCTTGATGATAAACACTTCTGGCAAGATAGCTGTTGCATGATAAATGGTGCGAGTGTTTTCTTCTTTGGCCTCAAAGAAGGAAACACACGTTCCATTATTCATTCAGTAGCTGTTTTGCCAGACATATTTACCACCAAGGTATGGTGCCCCAAAGAAGGAAACATTCACATCATTGTTCATTCAATAGTTATCTTGCCAGAAGTGTGTAGACATCACAGTTCAGATTACCCTTTTAGTTGCACCTTCCCTACCTCTTCTTTAGAGTTCAGGCACTGTTCTTCCCTCCTGCAGGATTCGAGTCAGGTCAACCAGTTTCCCAGTATCCCATCGTAGATGTCACCTTGCTCGCACTCCAACAGCACCTCAAATCCCAAAAATCACTTGCCTGCATCCCAGTTTAACATGTTTAACCTGTGCAGGCTCAGTACTTTTAAGTCCCTATCTTTCAGACTCGTTTATAATTGCATCTTTGATATTCCAAATAGAGCCTGAGAAAAAGTATAGATTATGGCTAAATTAAAATTTTTAATAATTATATAATGGAGGAATCGTGAGGTATTGAAGTACTGTACTACTGGTCATGATGACCATTACGTGAAGATTAAGACACACATTGTCCAGAGGGGTGAGGAGGGGTTATTGAGGTGGTTTGGACATGTAGAGAGGATGGAACAAAATAGAATGACTTTGAGAGTGTATAAATCTGTAGTAGAGGGAAGGCGGGGTAGGGGTCAGCCTAGGAAAGGTTGGAGGGAGGGGGTAAAGGAGATTTTGTGTGCGAGGTGCTTGGACATCCAGCAAGCATGCGTGAGCGTGTTAGATAGGAGTGAATAGAGACAAATGATTTTTAGGATGTGACGTACTGTTGGAGTGTGAGCAAAGTAACATTTATGAATGGATTCAGGGAAACTGGCAGGCCGGACTTGAGTCCTGGAGATGGGAAGTACACTGTCTACACTCTGAAGGAGGGGTGTTAATGTTGCAGATTTTTAACTATAGTGTGAGCACACCTCTGGCAAGACAGTGAGGGAGTGAATGATGATGAAAGTTTATGTTTTTCAGGTCACCCTGCCTTGGTGGGAAACACCCGATGTGTTAATAAAAAAAATATAAGACATGCAGCAGTTGGGTATCTTTATTGATGAAATGTTTTGCCTACACAGTCTGTTTCTTCAGTCAAATGCTGAAGAAACCTACTGTGTAGGCAAAGTGTTTCATCAATAAAGATACCTAACTGTTGCACATGTGTTTTAATCTTGCACTTGTCGCTATTTTATACCATTTTCAGCATAGCCATTGCATCACAGATTGATGCTAAATGATTCCTTCGTTGATGAGTAAATTGGTACTGGTTATTGGTAATCATTCTAACTACTGTATGATTCCTTCTTTGATGAATAAATCAATACTGGTTATTGGTATCATTCTAACTACTGTATGATTCTTCTTGAGAATAAATCAATACTGGTTATTGGTAATCATTCTAACTACTGTATGATTCCTTCTTTGATGAATAAATCAATACTGGTTATTGGTAATCATTCTAACTACTGTATGATTCCTTCTTTGATGAATAAATCAATACTGGTTATTGGTAATCATTCTAACTACTGTATGATTCCTTCTTTGATGAATAAATCAATACTGGTTATTGGTAATCATTCTAACTACTGTATGATTCCTTCTTTGATGAATAAATCAGTATTGTCACTGGAAGAAATCTTGAGATCCTTAAATTAGAAATAAAAACTGGATGTTATTTTTGTTTATCCTGGATCATTATCAAGTCGCTAGCAAGAAAGACGGAATAATGCCATAATTGATTTCAGGACCTTTGGAATGGAAGACAGCAGTTTAATCTATTACATCATTCTCTCTTCTCAGATTTGTGAAGATTCATGCCCCTTTTGAAGTATGCACAAGGTATGCAGAAATCTTGAAGCTGCGCATGCCGATGAAAGAGGTAAGGCGTGTCTGGCTTGGCTCCCGTGCCTTTATTTCAACACTGCTAACTATTAGTTGCAGTGACTTGTTTTGTGTGAGGCAGTGATGGGTTAATATGACCCCGGGATGATACTATATGCAGTATATTTATACTATAAAATTTCTTCGTGATATTCAGTCACCTCTCCTATACAGCTGCTCTGTTTAGTGCAATTTTTTAAATATGATTGAAAAGGTACATCCATAATTGATTAGTGTGTGAATGGCCTTCATAGTGTGCACTTTGATTTTGGAGTAACTTTTTCAGTCGCATTTACAAAAAATACGCTGTATAGAGGAGCCTTATAAATTAGGTGACTATTGTTAGCTTTATATCATTAATGTTACTTTTTTCACTTATGATTACTCTGAGTGTTATGGAGAAGTGGGTTAATAGTATTAACCCTTAAACTGTCCAAGCGTAGATCTACGTTTGCGTGCGTGGCGCTCCGACCTTGATTTTCTCCATAAGAAACAATGTAAAAAAAATGTAGATCTATGTTCAGAGCGCTACGCAGGCAAACATAGATCTATGTTTGGACAGTTTAAGGGTTAATGTCCCTGGGATGATAATATATTTTCAAATATTTTTTATTAACACATTGCCTGTCTTCCATTGAGGCAAGGTGACCCTAAAAAGAGTATGGTACTTCTAGTAACTCTACACCTCATTATATCCATGCTATAGACTCTCTTCATTATATTCACATCACATATTGCCCTCAGACACAACACCTCCACTGCCTCCAGCCTTCTCCTTGTTGCAGCATTTGTAACCTATACTTCACACCCCTAGAGTGTTAGTACCACTATACTCTCATATATTCCCTTCTTTTCCTCCTTGAATAACATTCTTTTGTCTCCACAGACTCCTCAGTACTCCACTCACCTTTATCCACTCATCAGTTCTATGATTCACCTCATCTTTCATAGACCCATCTGTTGACAAGTCCTCTCCCAAACATCTAAACACATTCACTTCTTCCAAACTCCCTCTCTCCCAGTCTAATATCCAATCTTTCATTACCTAACTCATTGTTACCCTCATCACCTTGATCTTTCCTATGTTCACTTTTAATTTTCTTTCTTTGCACACCCTCACAAACTTGTCCACCAACCTTTGCAATTTCTCTTCAAAATCTCCCAAAAGCACAGTGTCATCTGCAAAGAGCAACTGTGACAACTCTCATTTTATGTTAGATTCCACATTCAGTGGTACCTCGAATTTCGAACAGCTCCCAGCTTGAACAATTGCGTAAGTGTATTTTTGTAAGTGCTTTTGTAAGTGTATTTTTGGGGGTCTGAAATAGACTAATCTAATTTACGTTATTCCGTATGGGAGGAAATTCGTTCGGTAACGGCACTCGAACAGCCTTCTAGAATGAATTTCGGCTGAAATTCGAGGTACCACTGTATGTTAATCCCACACCTCTCCACAACACCTGAGCGTTCATTTCTCGTACAGCCACATCTATAAATATACTAAACAACCATGGTGACCATCGTGCACTTCTAAGATCTATTTTTACAGGAAAATCTCCCTCTCTTCTACACACATTAACCATATCCTCACTATCCTCCAAGTACAGTGGACCCCCGCTTAACGATCACCTCCGAATGCGACCAATTATGTAAGTGTATTTATGTAAGTGCGTTTGTACGTGTATGTTTGGGGGTCTGAAATGGACTAATCTACTTCACAATATTCTTATGGGAACAAATTTGGTCAGTACTGGCACCTGAACATACTTCTGGAGTGAAAAAATATCGTTAACCGGGGGTCCACTGTATATTTCTTCTATAGAATCTCTTCAAGGTGTAGTTTAATGTTATCATTGCTGTTTTTTTTTTTTTAGTTAAGTGACCTGATACGTATTTATGAGTGTTAGGCAGTGATAGAGCTTTATAGAGAGTTTACTGTATTTGTGAGTGTTAGGCAGTGATAGAGCTTTATAAGAGCTTACTGTATTTGAGTGTTAGGCAGTGATAGAGCTTTATAAGAGCTTACTGTATTTGAGTGTTAGGCAGTGATAGAGCTTTATAAGAGCTTACTGTATTTGAGTGTTAGGCAGTGATAGAGCTTTATAAGAGCTTACTGTATTTATGAGTGTTAGGCAGTGATAGAGCTTTATAAGAGCTTACTGTATTTATGAGTGTTAGGCAGTGATAGAGCTTTATAAGAGCTTACTGTATTTATGAGTGTTAGGCAGTGATAGAGCTTTATAAGAGAGCTTACTGTATTTATGAGTGTTAGGCAGTGATAGAGCTTTATAAGAGAGCTTACTGTATTTGAGTGTTAGGCAGTGATAGAGCTTTATAAGAGAGCTTACTGTATTTATGAGTGTTAGGCAGTGATAGAGCTTTATAAGAGAGCTTACTGTATTTATGAGTGTTAGGCAGTGATAGAGCTTTATAAGAGAGCTTACTGTATTTATGAGTGTTAGGCAGTGATAGAGCTTTATAAGAGAGCTTACTGTATTTATGAGTGTTAGGCAGTGATAGAGCTTTATAAGAGAGCTTACTGTATTTATGAGTGTTAGGCAGTGATAGAGCTTTATAAGAGAGCTTACTGTATTTGAGTGTTAGGCAGTGATAGAGCTTTATAAGAGAGCTTACTGTATTTATGAGTGTTAGGCAGTGATAGAGCTTTATAAGAGAGCTTACTGTATTTATGAGTGTTAGGCAGTGATAAAGCTTTATAAGAGAGCTTACTGTATTTATGAGTGTTAGGCAGTGATAGAGCTTTATAAGAGAGCTTACTGTATTTATGAGTGTTAGGCAGTGATAGAGCTTTATAAGAGCTTACTGTATTTATGAGTGTTAGGCAGTGATAGAGCTTTATAAGAGAGCTTACTGTATTTGAGTGTTAGGCAGTGATAGAGCTTTATAAGAGAGCTTACTGTATTTATGAGTGTTAGGCAGTGATAGAGCTTTATAAGAGCTTACTGTATTTGTGAGTGTTAGGCAGTGATAGAGCTTTATAAGAGAGCTTACTGTATTTATGAGTGTTAGGCAGTGATAGAGCTTTATAAGAGCTTACTGTATTTGTGAGTGTTAGGCAGTGATAGAGCTTTATAAGAGAGCTTACTGTATTTATGAGTGTTAGGCAGTGATAGAGCTTTATAAGAGAGCTTACTGTATTTATGAGTGTTAGGCAGTGATAGAGCTTTATAAGAGAGCTTACTGTATTTATGAGTGTTAGGCAGTGATAGAGCTTTATAAGAGAGCTTACTGTATTTATGAGTGTTAGGCAGTGATAGAGCTTTATAAGAGAGCTTACTGTATTTATGAGTGTTAGGCAGTGATAGAGCTTTATAAGAGAGCTTACTGTATTTGTGAGTGTTAGGCAGTGATAGAGCTTTATAAGAGAGCTTACTGTATTTATGAGTGTTAGGCAGTGATAGAGCTTTATAAGAGAGCTTACTGTATTTGTGAGTGTTAGGCAGTGATAGAGCTTTATAAGAGAGCTTACTGTATTTATGAGTGTTAGGCAGTGATAGAGCTTTATAAGAGAGCTTACTGTATTTATGAGTGTTAGGCAGTGATAGAGCTTTATAAGAGAGCTTACTGTATTTTAGAGTGTTAGGCAGTGATAGAGCTTTATAAGAGAGCTTACTGTATTTATGAGTGTTAGGCAGTGATAGAGCTTTATAAGAGAGCTTACTGTATTTATGAGTGTTAGGCAGTGATAGAGCTTTATAAGAGAGCTTACTGTATTTGTGAGTGTTAGGCAGTGATAGAGCTTTATAAGAGAGTTTACTGTATGAGTGTTAGGCAGTGATAACAGAGCTTTATAAGAGAGCTTACTGTATTTGTGAGTGTTAGGCAGTGATAGAGCTTTATAAGAGAGTTTACTGTATTTATGAGTGTTAGGCAGTGATAACAGAGCTTTATAAGAGAGCTTACTGTATTTGTGAGTGTTAGGCAGTGATAGAGCTTTATAAGAGAGTTTACTGTATTTATGAGTGTTAGGCAGTGATAGAGCTTTATAAGAGAGCTTACTGTATTTATGAGTGTTAGGCAGTGATAGAGCTTTATAAGAGAGCTTACTGTATTTATGAGTGTTAGGCAGTGATAGAGCTTTATAAGAGAGTTTACTGTATTTATGAGTGTTAGGCAGTGATAGCAGAGCTTTATAAGAGAGCTTACTGTATTTATGAGTGTTAGGCAGTGATAGAGCTTTATAAGAGAGTTTACTGTATTTATGAGTGTTAGGCAGTGATAGAGCTTTATAAGAGAGCTTACTTATGATGTGCATGATAGAGCTTTATAAGAGAGTATGATTTATGAGGTTAGTGATGCAGAGCTTTATAAGAGAGCTTACTGTATTTATGAGTGTTAGGCAGTGATAGAGCTTTATAAGAGAGCTTACTGTATTTGTGAGTGTTAGGCAGTGATAGAGCTTTATAAGAGAGTTTACTGTATCATTCACTGTTAGACAGTTAGGAGTTAAGAATACAGGCAACCCTCCACATTCGCGAGTTCCACTTTCGCAAGCTTCGAACATTTGCGAATGTCAAGACGCCCAGTCATAACATGTATATATACAATATGTTAAGATGTTTTCATGTGTTTTATGATTGTGGTTCAAGAGGTTAAGTAAATGCTATTGCTCAAGATTCGTTAGGTTCTTGATCCTTTAACCTTTAACCCAATACACATATTGTATATTCAGTATATTTTTAAAATACGTTCATGTTTATAATTAGTCATAATGATGCATAATAAAATTACATAAATCATTTTGAAATTAAAACATAAATATTTATTTTCTTGAAGCATCTGTGAGTTGTCGATAAATTCTCTCTCGTCTCTCGTTTTGATCTGTTGCTGTAGTTAGTGTTAGTAGTTAAGTAGAGTAGTTGCTTAGGCAGTGTTAGTGTTTTGTTAGTTTGTTAGATAAGACACATAAATAACAAAAAGACACAATACCGTGACTGGAACGATACACAAATAACCCGCACATAAAAGAGAGAATCT